ATCTAGTTATCGATAGAAATAGCACTCCTTTCAGTTTTCCCCATACTCTTTCCAATTTATTATCCAGTATTTCCTGCTCAATCCAAGATTCCTATTTATATGGCGTTGTGTTGCGGATACTGCGACTCCCCGATCCTAAAGTATATCGATATGAACTCGGTGCGTGAGATCGAAAATAAGATTGGTTTAAATAAAAAAAACCCGGATCTGACCTATGCATCTGTTTATTAATGGTAGAAAAAAAAATTTTTTTTCAGCCCGCTATAAAACCTTTTTCATCTTAGCAATTTATGTATATGCCCCCCAACCAAATCAATATAGATTTATGGAATCTTAACTAAATTTTTTGTTTATGATAAGCATATGTAGGGCTGAACAATATGACCAAAAAATGCCTAGATTTTCATTACCCATAGAGGTCCGAGTAGATCGGCTAATGTCTGCCCTAAAATAATCAGTGTTGGAAGTACAATAATGTCGGTCAATATCTAAAAAGGTAATATTTGACTGGAACTATCCAAAAAAGGAACTATTCTCATAAATATTTTGCAAACTCAAAAAAAATGTTGAGGACCTATTACAAAAAAAAAAAAAAATAAAGATATTTGTTGCTAGGTAATTATGACAATTGTGGTTCCACTTTGATAACCTTCCTTTTTTAGATTTGACTATCAGGAAGCTAGTTTATAAAATATATATATATATTTTATCTTTCAAAAAATTCTCAGGATCAAACAATATTAATGCAGAATAAGAAAAAATTACCCACGCATGCTGTAAATCCAGATCAGGTTATCCCGATTATTGGAGTCGATTTGACAGGAATTAAAAAAAACTTTTGTCATCATGAAAGAAACCATTTTCTCTTGGTAATTAATCTTCAAAAGAAATCAATCACAAAAAAAAACAAATAAATTCAATTTTTATCTTGGTAACTAAGATATATTTTTATTGCTTATATAGATGAATAGCTTTTTCGATCCAATAAAAAAGAGATTTTTTTTTTTTTTGATTTAAAAATTTTTTGAAATTATAAACGGAGAGGGTGTATTTGTTAAAAATCATAAGGAAAATTCCAAAATAAATAATATTGAAATCTTGAAAAAAGTTATTTCGTAATTGGTTACGTAAATAGAAAGTGATCGTGTAACATAAATGTTTAAGAGAAAAAAAACAAAAATGAAGAAACATGAACAAATATCACAACAAAAAAAAAACCAATATACTGCTTGGCATCGTTGACAAAAAAAAAAGATAAAATACTTTCTTGTGAAAAGATTTCAACGCCAGGTTGATAAAGAATTTTTAACGATAATTTGTGTAATAGAAAATAAAATGTATTTTTAATGAGACATGATTTGAAGCACGTTTAAAGTATTTATAAACTCCATATGTTTTTGAATTGGCAATAAATTTGGTTGAATGATTAAAAGTTAGCTAAAAAAATATATATATATATTATATAACAATGATTATTGTTTCATACATATCGATTACGTAGAGAAATAATGGGCGCAATAACTTACCAAAAATTTTTACTAGATCATTATGTCGCGCTCAATTCATGTCATCATTTACATAATTTTCATTAATACTTCTGTCCGATGACAAAAGGATAGCACGATTTGCTATGAGTATGAATCCGGGAGGAAAACTTGGGGTTTATATAAGTGTTAGGATTGACACCAAATTTTTTTTACGAAAATGAACGAAAACAAATAATAAGCCTCTTGCCATTTTTAGATAGAACAGAACCATATCTGTATCACTAAATATTTCATTTGATTTTATATAGAAATGAGTATAAAGAACTGCACCAAATAAGACGTATATGTTTAAAGTAAATTGAATAAGAAATCCAACCAATGAAGAAACTTCAGGCGAAAGTTAAAAAGTCCATTTTTATATTATGAAAACAAGGGGGATTCTCTCAAATCATCTAATCATAATCACGTTTTAACAAATCATAAATTCTCCGACAAAATTATGATCGGCTCGAGAAAATTTATAAGCGCAGTGCATAAGTGTATCCCTTTCGCAAAACAATCCAAGATCAGCTGAACTAAAACTATTATGTAGAAAATTTTCCGATAAAAAAAAAGTGCAGAATATGCACAATGGTATTTAAACCAAAAGGTGTTAGCTTACAAAGTAAAATGGGGTTGTGTCACATTTTTATTTGCATCAAACGGTCAATAAACCTGAATCATAATTTTATCTCCGGCTATGAACTTCCGAAATTTCATGCAGATTAAAATTATGAATGAAAGATTAATAATTCAACAAGTATGGAGTGATTTCGTTGTTCTTTGTTTTTTTCAAAAAGGAAATGTGCATTTCAATAAATCCATCATGTATGAAGACTACACTTACATACATTAATTAAAAATTTCAGTTGATTTAAATGATAAGATGATGCTAACCAAAAAAGGCAAAATGAAGGACTTTTTAATTTGGACTATATAAGCCAATTTCCTTTTTTTTTTACCTTACTAACACGAATTGTTCCGACATAATCATTAAACAAAATGCCACAACTTCCTGCTGATCGTTTGAAAGGAATTTTTGAGTATTTTCAAGATAATGCCACTTTGGTATTCGTGCTTATTTTAATCTTCTTTGGTGTGAAGTTTTGTTCAATTTTTATGGAAATTATTTGGAACTTTAGTACTTTAATTGAAATTTTATCACAAGAATGAAGTTTTTATTCAAACCCCAACTTTCAAACCTCCATTATTTAATTATGTATCATTTATAAATAATAATATTGCCTATATAATTGATAACATTCTTTCATATCATCGACGATAAAAAGTATATGGTCGTACAAGAAATTATCAAAATGATTACGAGCCAAATTTCTTTGAAAACATTAGATATTTATGGTTGTGGTAAAAAGATTTTGCCCAATCTTCCTCGAGCGATGAATTCTTTGAGAATTCTCACGGTCGTTAAGCTGTGATAAAAGTATTAATCCTGAATTGTTTGATTTTACCTCAGCGATATTTAAAGTACTTGAGCATACGCAAATATCATTTCCTAATATCAAAACTTCCAATATTTTAATCAGATTAAAACTTTATGGTAATAGTATTCTCGTGTTATTTTCATTGTCATAGTCGCTAAATTCACAAATTTACAAGAATTCGTATTAGCATTTCCTGATTAAAATTTTGAAGGTTTTGAAGATTTGCAACACATCATATTCCCGCAGTTAAGTGGTTTAAAATTTACAAACTGTCATCCGAAACAGAAATATTTGATCAAATTTTGGAAAATAACGGAATGAAATTGGAAAGTGTTCCTTTTAATTCATCACGTTGAGCTATTAAAAATAGCGGAATTCTGTAGGTTATGGAGAACAATTTTAATGATTTCAAACAAGCAGAAAGCATTGAAATTCTATGGTATGTTTATTTTAATGGAATGGAAGTGAATTATTGGAAATCATTTCAAAATTTTTACCTAATCTTTGAAGTTAATTCTGAAATGTATAATGTAATTTTAATTCATAGAGTCATTTTTATAAGTTGGTTAAATCGTACACCACCAAGGTCACTTTCTTTTATTCTTATTAATGATTATTGTAGCATGATATCTTTAGAGTCCATAAAGGAATTTATGGAAATAATTGATATATTCAATTAGGCATTATTAAGTATTTTAAGGTCGTATATACTCAACAATAAAAACTGATTATATTTTAATTAATTTCTAAAATTAGTATTAATTGAACATACCGTAACTTTGTTGCGCCGCATGTTTATTACAGAGGACGTGATAAAGAACTACAGTGTACTAGATACATCTATCTCTTAAAAGGCTCAGCCATACGGTTTAATCTTCGCAAAAGTTCATTTCAATAAAATAGGAAAAACAAAACATACTTAATTAGCGACACGCCCTAGTATAATGGTTTTAGGCGAAATGGTATTTAGAATGTCCAAAGTGAACAGAGTTTTAATTATATCAACAGTAAATAAATAACATTATATAATGAAATAGACGAAAGTTGGTACGTAAGGAAGAAGGAACGCAGGAAGATTTCTCTATTTAGTGTATGACGTAAAAACTATCATGATCGACATCATTAAAAATTAACCTAATGTTGAAAAAATAATTCCTTAAAAATGTTTAAAAGAAAATAAAGCAAATAGAAATATCTCTCATTAACTTTTCGTGTGTTATGGGCTTTTTAACATCTTGTTGAACTCACATTTTTCGACTTTGTAATCTGATATATATTTATGAATAAATTTATATTATAGTGAGTAGTTCTTTTAAATTATTCGTTATTAAGAATGAATCTTCATCTAATGAACGCTATTACACTATAGAATAATTTTTTATTGGTACTTTTAAGACTTTTAAGAATTTAACTACATTAATTTTTTATGCGCTTCTTGTTTTATTTGATTTATGAATTTTTTTTTTAAAAAAATTTTTATTTTATTTTAATAGATGATATTAGAAAAAATTTGATTGGTCATCAAACGATAGTTGTGACCATAATAATTTTGATGACAATCCGATTTGGGCGGTTCTATAAATATTTGTTACAAACTCGGGAGATATTAAGAATCATATTACATCTGCGTATAAAGATTATGTACACTTTATTGATAATCAGCATTGGTTCTCCAACCTGAACAATGCCAGTCCGGAGACAACGATCATCAACCGGAAGATTAGTGAGGAACCTGTAAATAAGAAGCGCCGTGTAGAAGAGATAGTCAAGAAAAAATAATTATAGAAGCATCATGTATCACGGAAAATTTTTCTTGGCAAATAAAAAAATAAGTTTCGCAAATATAAAAAAAAAGCTTTTATTTGTATGAATGAATAAGTATATAAATCTCTAATTTTTAATTTTAATAATTTTTGCTTCGAGAGCCTTCTGTTATAAATTTTTTATGCCTTCGGGAACTAGATTGCGAAAATCTCATTTAAGCTTTGCTTGTTATATTGCTTCTATTCGTCACCTCTTTATGTCATCGGTATTATGATTTGCGCCATTTACTAATTGCTTCAAGGGCCTTATGTAAAGAAGGCTTATAAACTTGAATGTCTCCGGGAACTGGATCGCAAAGTTTCATTTTGGCTTCTTCTAAGGTTTGATTGTTACGATGAAACTTAGCATTGCTTCTATCAGTCACATCTTGCAATAGCTTCATGTCATCGGTTGTCATTCCAACATCACTTAGTAAATCCTTCAAGTCTTTAATAGATTCCTTTTCTTCTTTTGTCAACTCTAAGTTTTTCCTCTTGAAATCAAGCCCAACATCCGCCAGGCGCCACTTTCTTTCTCCTAGCTTATCTATTATCATGTTCATAAAATATTTCACCCAATCTCTATAAAAGCTAAAAAATTTGGTTTCATTTGCTTGAAGCTTTAACTGAAGCTCTACTTCACTCAGCCTATCCTCTAACTCTTCTATACGGGATATCACTATGCGTAAGATTTCGTCGTTTTGTTCTTCCACTGTCTCGTATGTATTCTTCAGATTAGCTTCTAAATTTCCTACGTTTTGTAAACATAGTTCTAATTCTTCTTCACTGACATTTTTCATAATTTCTTCCAGTAATTCAGAACCTTCTTTCTTTATAACTTCGATCCGTTCCCTCAATACAGTACACTTTTGCCTAAGATCATTCGTGGTCATGGAATAATTTGACATAGTACGTGAACTCGTTGCGGAAAGATATATATTAGATGACATTTTAGCTTTTATGTTTTGTTACTGAGTATATCGTATCGATAGACTAAAAAAAGTAATTTATCGAAAAGAATAAGGTTTTAGTTTAGATTTTGAGAGAAAATTTTCTTTTTGAGAAAGAAGAAAAGAAGTTGGGAATTTATATATTTATATACCTTTCTGAATACATCATGACTATTGACACTTGCATAAACTTTTGTGGCTTGTTGTTATGGTATACAGCAAATATTCGATAGAAATTAATAAACATAATAAAAAATCAATAACACAATACATTACCACGGGATCGGCAACATTAATGACATCAAAATCATATAAATTTCAGGTTTTGATTTTCCATTTTAAGATCGAAGAAAAATGTTTTACTAATTACACTACACCCTTTTTCTGATTGGCTGGTATAATACCGTTTGCCACTGCATACAGTACCCGGAGTCTTATTCAAGAACTCGATTTTTTAAATTGAATAGTATCAGCGTGTATTGTGTAAGGAACCGGGTACTATATTTACTATTATTGAATACGGATCACAAAGACGCAGCTTGTAGGTTAAAATTACACAAATTTACCAATAAAGATATAATTCAATTATTCGTTAAAAAACTTTTCTGGGGATTTAGGATTTCTGTTGGCTGGTTCTGTAATTTTAAGAATAAAACTTCATAATTTACTTAAGTTTAATTTGCTCTCTTCTATACCATATGCTCCATCATTAAATTAGAAAAGGCATCATTAAGTCACAGAAGAACGTCAAGTGACTCAAGTCATACGTCAAGTGGATGAAGAAAGTTTTCAAATTTATCAGTGGTTCGTTTTAAGGAAAATAGTTAAGGTAATCATTTCGGAACCGCTAAAGTTATTTCATGAAAATGAAAGATAAAAATCTCATGTATACATGCATTATTAAATAATTTAAAGTTAGAAATTCAAGATTAAAAAAACTTTATTGATTCATTTTAGCTTGAACAGGCTAAGTAGTGATAATAAAGGTAGATATCTTTCTCGTTCACTTCTTTTTCTATACCTATTTAGGAAAATTCTAAAGCAATAACACCAACGCAAATGTCTCTGACATATGCAATATAATCTCAAGTTTAGTTTTGCTACCTCCAGTTCATGTATTTCCAATGAAACCTCACCACCCAGAAAGGAATTCTCATTAACAATCCATTTTACCTTCATCGAATCTATTACAAGTGTTGGTAGAAGAAGAAAAGGATGTGTTCTCTGTGAAATCCGCAAATAGTAGAATCTCAATTGCAAGTTATGATTCTACTTTAAGTACAATCAGTAAAAGAAGTGAAAATTCTTTAAATTCGGAAGGTTTCTTTAGCATATTTATATAAAGGACCAAACAAGTGTACTGGGTATTTATGTTTCTATAAATATGCGAATGAGATGAGGTTTTCAAGATTGTTTATGTATTCGTTAAACCTTATTACTATAAATTCATAACTATCGACGAATTGATACATTTGGAGGTCAATATGGTACACATGATGATCTATTTATACGCGAACTGCGTTAAGAAGGTAACAATATTTTATTTTTTGACATTTTATTCTAGATTTATTAATTGATTTGATTTTTTAACCGCTCCTACTATTTCTTTATTCTTGGCATTAATTAATAATTCCTTTTACGTTTCATTGAGGTTTAATAATTCAATTTTTTTTAAAATTGGCCAATTATTAGGTTTGCTTTGCTTTGATAAAAAAATGATAATCTATAGATTAGATCTTTCTTGATTGCATAACAGATACTTGGAAATTTTATTTTCCCCTACTACAACCATCATGAAATCACTCAAATAATTCCCAATCATTCAATAAAAAAAAAGTATATTTTCAAAACTTCCTTTCTTTATTAATACTTGTTACCTTTAATGAAGTTAACCTAAAGGGTTTAAGAACAATCAATTTTCCAGTAACTGATTTAACCAAAGTAGCAGAAAATCAACTTTTAGAATTTTTAATTATCTCTTTCAACATATTTTGTTTTTCTTCACATGAAAGCTATATTATAAGCATTTCATATAAAAGAAAGGACTTGATGAAAACTCTGAATTTGAGAAATATGTTACTTGACAATTTAAATCTATGGTATTATATTGCATAAAATTCCACATTACAAAATTCATTGTTGAGATTGTAGAAACTATTCTTTAGCAATCAATAATAATCTTTATCTTTATTTTGTAGAAAAAAAATCCAGTATTATTGGTAAGAATATAATGAAAATTTGGCCTATATTAGTAAAATTTTATTCAATTTTAATTATTGAATCTTTATTATTAAAATAATATATTTAATACTTTAACAGGATCATTTTCTAATTTTATGTAATCGCATAGCCTTATATTTCTAGACTTTATCTATTTAATATACATGTGTAAGTAGTGTATATATCATAAAACAATTCTTTTTCATTTATCAAATTTTTTTCCTGATAGATATTTCGTTTTAATAGTTATATATTTTTATATATGCTTCATTTTCATTGCATATTTGAGTGATCTAATCTGAGTTACAAGTGAAGTTTGCAAAATGTTTAATTATAATTTCATGACGTGAAATTTATTATAAAATTTATTAAAAATTGAACAAATAAGAAAATCAAAATTATTATAGAAATTGGGCTATGTAAAGAAAATTTTCTAAAAGTAGAAATTAATACTTCTTTTTGAGTTTGAGTTATCACTTATAATGTTTTCCTTAAATAATTTAAAGTACCATATTCTTTCAAAAATAAGCAACCCCAAAAATAATCAACATCTGTTTTATATAGGTTCTGAAATAAGCAATACTTCAAAAAAATTGAAATTTTTTATTTAATAAAATTTTTTTAAATAAACAAACATATTATAAATGCATTTAATTGTTTATTTTATTATTATAATAAAAAAATAAAAAAATATAAAATTAGTGTTCATCCAAAAAATATAAAATTTCTGGTAAAAAAAAATTAATCCATGATATTAATATTATCATTCTCACTAATATTAGTATCAGAATCATTATCAGTAATACATATCTTCATCATAATCATCATCATCATGATCGTTATCACGATCATTAACATCATCATAACTAATATCATTCAAGTCCAAATCATTTGAAATATTGCATTTTTTAAAAAATTTAACAATTATATCCGTAAAAATACTCTCCTACAAACGATTTACTATAAACACATATCACTAAGACTTGCATAATAAAGATTTTCTGAGACGATTTCTCTAGCACCACCATTTGTCATCCAAGAATGCTACTCTTTTTGAAGATTATCCTTAAAGGACTTATTAATGAAAGCATCAAGTAGTCAGTATTTATCTTGAAATAGACACGACTTTCATGAAATCTTTTTTTAATTGAATCTTCTAAGTGACCTTTGAATGAATTATAAATAAGCATTATTAGATCTTCTTATGTTCTATTTTTCACTCTTACATTGTTAAAATAATTTATATAATTTTGTACTAAATTAGTATCTATTCAACCGTTAGTTTAAAACTAAATAATAACTCCTAGAGGCGTTTTTTTTCACATAATATTTGTTACCTTTAAAGATACAAATTGGTAGGAATTTAGACTTGTCTATTGTAAGAATAAAAAAATTAAATAAAAAAATGAAAAAAAATTAAGTGAAAAAGGTGGAAAAAGTAAAAGAAATGAAAAATAAAAAAAATAAAAAAAGAACAATACCTATAGCACATATAATAACTACTGTAAATCAGTTTCTTTTATTTCCTATGACTTGAATATGAACTGTCTTCTCTTCTTTAAGATTTATCGTATAAACACCAGTCATATCGAACTAAATCAGAGTTTTATTCATATTAAGAATATTACTCAGTTTAAATGACTTTTCAATCCTTAAATTTTTAATGAACTGGTAAAATTTCTCTAATTATTCCTGAGTTTTATTAGGGAGTTACTGAGAAATTTTGGTTTGTCTACACAATACTAAGTTAAATCTTTTTATAAAGCCCAATATCTAATATTGAGACGTTTTAAAATCTTTATCTACATTACCATAAAGAACCACTATTTTAAATTCTTTTAAGATCTCTAACATTTTATTTCTTATGGTTATGTAGATCACTAAAAAACCCTATTTCTTTGTTGTATAATCTAGATATAAAGCTTTTTTCTCTGCTTTTGAAAATAAGGCTTTTTTACTGAAGCTAACCCTCTTAACCACCTTGCTTTTTCCCTTGGTTTTCTCATCTATTTTGAACTTGCATTTACTCACTAACTTACTATATCATGATCAGTATCAAAGTATCTTGCTGTTTTATTATTTTCATAGTTTCTTGCGTAAGCAATGATCTGCTTTTTATATTCAATTAATTATAAATTTTATGTTTATTTTACAAACTGTGTTTTATGTTTAACAGTTTTAACTACTCTTTTTCATTTTGCTATTTCATTAATTTCATTTTCACATAAAAAAATAAAATTGTTTAAAACTTATTTTTATATTACGTGATAAATTGTGAATGATTTGATTGACAAAAATCACATGATTGGATAATTGTGTGATTAAATTTCTTTTATTTTATTAAACTATCCAAAAATAAGCAATACTATAATAAAAAAGTATTGCTTATTTTCAGAATAATATAGTAGATTTGTTCTTATTTATTTAAAGACTTATAATATACAACCTAAAAAATTTTAGTATTTTAAGAATGCTAAAAGAAAATTTTTATGTATGACAAATAATAAATATACAAAAAAAATGTCATGCTCATGAAAAATTAATGGTTGTATTTTATCATGAAAATGGGTATAGTATTCAGGTAATAACAAATAAATATGAGGTTGAATTAAAATAGGTTCATGACTAGAAAAGAAAAAAGAGTAACTTAATTCATGTATTTTTGTATGTTAAATGACTTAATTCTAGTGCATAACTAAAATATCTACAGCTTGATAAAGAGCTTTTGAATGAGTTATAAAGACAACTAAAAATAGAATGATTGTTCGTCTCTTTTGAAA